ATAATAGTAACAGATACTAGCTAACCTTTATTTCAAAATAGATCTTGCGAGGCTGATTGTTCATAATATCTGAGTTGATGCTTCAAGTTCCTTTGTGAAAATTCACAACTTCGCAAATTTAAGACCATTGATATCCGTACAAAATTGATCGTATCTATTTCTTCCTAGTTTCGAAGTTCAAAAAATACATTAAAATAACACTTATCATCTAATCCTATCATGATTAATGGAGCTAGTGGAAACCGAAAATTAAGCTGTGATTTTTATTTTCGTTTTGTGAATGTGAGTGGAATATTATGTAATTCCTTGTTTATCTTTGCAATAATTCATAATGAAAAAATATTATAGCACTTTTTCTATTTAGACTAGAGTACCAAACTATCTATCTCATTGTAATATTAGTCAATTCACGCTCGACATCAACTGTCGATTGTCGGTCGAAGCAGTACGATCTCTATCAACACTTATTAATCTGAAGCATGTTGGTGAAATCTGGCTGATCTGTACATCTGATGCTGTCATTGATATAGAATCAATCCGAACTTTGCTTAAAAAAACCAATAATATCCATACAATGGGTATTTTGCCTGTCAGGGTTTTGACCAATATTATTAAACGTATATGGTCTGATGTATACTATCAAGTACAGCATCTAAAAGTCAAAACAAACAATTTAGAATGTATGCAATGGATTCTTGAGCAAGATAAACACTTATCTAGTGTAAGATTCATTGATGATAATAGAATACCAACTGTTCGAACGAAGATTATCGAATGGCTAAGACTGAAGAAAAGAAAATTCTCTTTCGTACAAGACTGCGATTCTCTTACAATATCTTTTGTCATGAACGGAAATAAACGTGAGCAACTCGAAATCGCTAGTCATAAAAAACGTTCCAGACAAAATTAACCAAAATGATGATTCTTAATGTAATTGATCCTTTTAATTATTTTTCTGTATAAACTTAGCATATGATTATATCGTGGATAAGCTAGTATGGAGTGTGTGGTGTGGGAGTGAGTGTGGATGCGAACCTTCATGTATCCCATATCGGCATCCATACCCACACCCACATCTAGTCTTCTTATCCTCTAAAAATGACTAAAAACCGACAAAAACTGACCGGTCTCAAAACTTCGACTGGACTGATAACCGGCAGATCGGTCGGTCCGGTTACAAGTCTGCATTGAACCGAGTAACTGCTTTGCTTTTACTTCTTTGCTAAATGAAACTTCCGAAAGACTCACACACTATTCTTTTTCGAGTAAAAATCGATTAGCACGGTAATATTCAATGTTTATTGAAGTTAGATTTCAATTGATTTTAGTCTTTTTTGATCAATCAAGAAGGATTAAAATCAAGCAAAACTTATCTTCAAAGTTAAAAAATTAGATTTTTTCTGTTTTCGTATGTGTGTAATCTTTTTTGGAAAAAGAAATAAAGTTCAAATCAGGTGATTTATTTCAAGGCGGGGTGCTGATGGCTCAGGTATTTTCTTATCACATGTTTTTTAAATAATTTCAAATGAAAATCGAAAAATACAAAATATATTAAAAATAAGTATAATTAAACCTGTACATGACATATTTACAAGGAGAAGATTTGTTGATAAATAACAAATTTCTCTATGTTTCGTTATAATTGATAATAAAATAAAATTATTATCAATTAGACCAACTTTAAGAAAATAATTATAAAAACTACAATAAGAAATATACGATATTTTATCAAACAATATACGATGACCTCTAATCGTCTTATTAATAATATGATTGAAATGTCAGTGACTATCGCTTGTCCTCTACTTTTTTTGATATTATTCAGCTGCCAAATACAATGACCTGAAAGAGCAGAACATGTCATCAATCAATTTTCTCTCTACCATTCTATCGATTGTTGGATATGAGCGGGCGCATAGGCATTTTTCTACCGTTAGTGTATACATTGAATACTTTTGCATATATAAAATAGAATATAAAGATGTGGCACTTTCGACAATATTCAACAACTTCAGCTGAATTCTGAGTAGAACATTGCTTTCATATATTAATTGTCATAACTCGATTCTGTATTGTCGAAATTCAAAAGATTTGTACAAAAATCTTGTTTTTTGCTAGTGTGTATTATGTTGGCAAAAATAAAATTACGTTTGTTAAATTTTTGATTATTCATAGACAATATCTATATGAACTCATCATGGATAAATTTTTAGTTCATCTTATTTGAATTTTGAACTGATTACACTCCAGAGATGTCCATGTCGGCACGATAGCAGTAGTTTTTTTTTAAATGAGATTGAAAAATTGCATGATTTGACACTCAATTGGAGGGTTTACAGGTTCAACAGGAAGAATCGTCATGAATCGAATGGACTCAATCTAACTGTGCTGATTTATCATAGTGACAAAAGCAATTTTCAAAGGCTTTCTCAAAAAACATCACAGTAGCCAAAGTTTTTCAGTGCCGATGGATATCTATGCTATATGTGTGGGTGTGGGTTATGAAAAAAGTAACACTTAACATCCACACTCACTACCAAGTAAAAAGTACTTATAGTTTAATTCATTAGTCTCATAGTATCATCAAAACTACAGCATGTTGAACTCTGATCGTAAGATCTCCGGCTGATTTTAACCATTCAAAATATCCAACCACACAGCTGAAGTTTCTGAACTTTTTACTCAGCAGTGGGACTTCTTCCCAGTTCTGTATCCCAATGATATGACGTTCAGGAAAAAATATAGCTAATGCTAAAACTTGATCCGCTTTGGCTAAATTTCTAATACGATTACTTATATCGTAGAAATATCCAATTCTCTATTTCATTTTTTTAATAATCATAAACAAAAATCATACAATTTTGACGAATCATCTATTCGTGTTCATTTTATTATAAACAAATTTTTATGTATTTTTTTCTATAGTTTGTATCAAAAAAAAATTAATTATTTATCAGAAAATTTTAAGTTAATTAATTTTATTACTAAACCCAACCGATCGAATGCTACCCTTCAGAGCTCGATATTGTGAAGCAAATTCTTTATCATATAATTTACGTTCTTCAATACGTTTCTGTTCGACAGATTTGTACGCTGTTTGATTTTGTAAAGCCATTCGATAAAGAGCATCAAGATCAGATGCTTTATGTGTTGTAACAAGTTTACCTTGAATTAATTTTCGTGCATTTGATGTTCCCATTGATGAAGATGAATAAAATGAAGATGAGTCAAATGGTTGTTGTTGTTGTTGTTGTTGTATTTGTTGTCGCATCATATTATTTGAACTAGTTGGACGTCCATCGAGCATATTTAATAATGGATTAATTCGATGTGGACCAGGTATTTGTTTATTAATTGGTGATGTTTTTGGTCGAAATAAACTTTCACCAAGATTTATAATAGGATCAGATGTTTTTTCTTTTTCATTTTCTAACAATAACAGTAAAGGACGAAGTGGTTTAGATGGAATTTCATTTGATATTGATGATGCTGTTTGTTTACGAACTATTGGTTTTGATTTTTGTTTAAGTTTAATTGATTCTATGAAATATTAAATTAAAATTAAAACTTTATACATAAAGATTTCAATATTAATTAATACATTAAAGATAAAACTAATCGTAGTGTATATTTGTTATCTAATATCGAATATACGGTGCAAGTTTATATGATATTATCATAAGGTAACATAGAATTATAAAGAAAACTCGAGTATCAAATGTTATTCGAAAGTTTCACAAATACAATCGATTATTGGTGAAACAACAAAAGACTTAAGGAAGGTCTCATAGAGAATTTTGGTCAAGTCGTTCTCCACCTAATGGTCACTACAGTAATCGATCTATTCATATTATCGACATATCGAAGATACTAAGACACCATCAGTAATTCTATCGAAAATGAATTTTTTTTTTATTAGACATATTAACTTCTTGTACTTAAAACTAAGATTGATGAAAAGTTTCTAAGAGAATCCTTTACTCTAAACGCCTATAAGAAAAAACTTTTTATTTTTTGAAAATTGTCAAATAGTGCATCACTCTACATTTTTTTGATAAAAACCAAGGTTTTTAAATAAATCTATAGTTTGCGTGAATTGAATGTATGTTCTAGTTATAAAAGGATATTCTCTGATAAAGACTTAACAAAATTCTTTCCATTAATAATAACCTACAATTTAAGACAAACTAAAATTGATTTATTTTTTCGTTCTCCTTTTTTTTGTATTATGACGTTTTGTAAACAATAGTTGCTATCGATGAGGGTATCATAGGCACTTTTATATATGAATCTTGTACAAATGAGCTTTTCTTTCTACTCTTCAAATTTATTTTGCCGATTGTCCAAATTCAGAATTACTTATGTGATCATAATATTCAGCACTATTTTAAGGTGGTCGACCGAAATAATATCTTTTAAAAAGTAATTCTGATTAAAATATCGAACAATAATATCTATAGAATTCAAAACTCATTTACAATAAACTACTTTTATTCTAAACAAGAATATTTCAATTATTATATGTTGAGAAAAGAACTAACTCAGTTGTATATATATTTACATAAAAAAATTATAAATAAACAAACCTATCAAATCTTTCGCTTCATCTTGTGCAATTTCATGCGCATGAGCTTGTTTCCATGCTTGATATGCTCGATTTGGTTTAACAACTCGAACAACATTTGTAAAATGATATCTTAAACCTTGTTCTTGTCTATGTATTCGAGCAATATGTGATTCTAAATCATCATGTAATAAAGTAACATTACGTTGTAAACGACGATATTCAAGTTTATTAAGGCGTGTTGCTTGAATTTGACATGCGCTTAAAACAACCTCGCCTTTCGTACTCTTCTTCATATTTGATTTGTAATTTCTTTTCTTTTTTCTTTTTTTTATTTCAATTTTCTTATATGAAAATGGAAAAGAAACCTTAGATGGCCTTTTCTTTCTTCTTTTTTTTCTTTCTTTTCGCGCATTATAAATACAATTGTCATACAATGACGCATGAAGAAAACTATAATCAAGATTTAGATCTTATAAAAATCAATGATTCAACTCAAAATAATCCAATTATTATATATGCTCATCAACTTAATCAATATTATCATACATTACTTGGTAATCCATTTCAACGATTAAAATATTATGATTCTTCAATAGAACAATATAATTTTTATCGCACACCTGGTATTATTAATTATATTATTACATATTATCTTCATCATGGATGTTTATCAACAGATATACATTATCCAGCAGAGATTCTTTATGATGAACTTGTATTTTTTGGTTTTAATATTCAAATTATTTATGATATTATTTCAAATTGTATTACTATTGATTATTATATTCCTTCTGGTAAATCAACATTATTATTTGACAAATTTGATACATTTTTTTTTAACTCATACAAATATGTAAAATAGAAGCCTTAAAAAATTGAAGAAAAAGCTTGATTCTTGTTGTGCATCATATGACATCTTTGATTAATTCAAATAATAATAAATTTATTATGAAACTTATAAAATAATATTGGTAATAAATATTGAATTCAATAGCGAGAAACTTAAAAATTCATTATTGACTGTACTCAAGTCACTTGAGTCTTTCAATCAAAAAAGTGGTGATTTCTATTACATTAATAGAAGCTTGTAATTTCTCGCCTTCGTCTCCTTCATCTGTCGAGTGAATCCTAGATTTGAATTTGTTCAAGTTTTAGTCACATCATATAAATAATATAGATTTCTTGATACTTGTTTAAATTGATTTAATCAAAATTTTCATCTATTGATTAGGTAAATATCGTCGAGCATTTTGGTTGACATTTGATTCTAAAATTTCAAAATATAAATTCAATCTAACTCGAATTGTTAGTGGATTTATTACTATTTGTTCTATTATAACATCTTTAACATTTATTGAAATTACAAATACTTTATTTATAAATAATGATTATCAAAAGATTTTATTTATAAAAAAAACTTTAACTATTGAAATATTTATTTTAATATATTTTTATATTGAATTACTTATATATTATTTTATTCGTCCTAAATTTCAATTTACAACATTATTTTTAATGTTAATTAATTTTTTTTCATTAATACCTATTGCTTTATTTCTTTTTATATGGGTAAGAGAACAAAACAAAAGATTTTTTGAATTAATAAAATTTTATATTTTATTAATTCAGTCAATACCATCAACATGGTTATATAGTTTACTTGTTATTCAATATGTTTCTCGTATTTTTCGTAGTATTCGTCTATCATCTTATGCTTATCAAATATTATATGATTTAACTAAACGATGTTCAATTTATTTTGAAATATTTCAATCAATTGGATTAATTGTACTATTTTTTGCTTTACTTATTCTTTCTATTGAACAAATATCAATACCTGTTGAATTTTTAATTAATAAACATTCAAATAATACGAATAATTTTCAATCATTAAGTGAAATAATATGGATTTCATTTAATGCATTTACATCTTTAGGTGAAGGTACAAGTAGACCATTAACATATGCTGGTTTAATTATTGAATTTTTAACTTGTTTTATTGGTATTTTAACAATTCCACAATTAGTTCAAATTATTTATACAATTGTATCAAATACAATTGATAAACAAAAATTAAATAATGAAAAACGACAACAAAAATATTTAGTTATGATTGAAGATGAACATAAAAATAAAGCCATAGGACAAGTTCATATTGATGAACGAGGAAATTCAAGTTTACCAGAAATTCTCATACAAAAAGATGAATTTTAAAATACAAAAAAAAACATAAATATGAAACTCGGTGCGAATCTATGAATGTCAATTATCTCATAAAAAAATGCATCAGAGTTTCAGCGATTTATCGTAAGATGCTTTTTTTTTCATTGACGTGTTATTAGAATCACGACTTCTTTTTTTTTTTTCGAAATTTATAAGTAACTATTAACAGGTATTGAAATTATCATTCTGATTCATTATATATTTGGAGTTGTCTTTACAGCTGTCTTAGACATGATATGAAATCAGTGGTAGCTAACATTTGTTGTTGTCATCGTGTCAATTATTTCGAAGGTTGAATAAAAATATCTCTGAAGGAAATGGAATTTCCGCGGGAAGATTTAACAAAAAAAACAAAAAAATTGTATCGGTTAGACATCGATATTTTGATTTCATGTTTGAATGAATAATTTTTCGAATTTCCGTTTCTAAGATTAACACTACAAAAGAAAATGCCAACTTTTGATGCACACACATCGAGAAAGTCGCTTCGAATTAATAAGAAAGAAGAAATATTTATCCGCAAAAAAAAAAAAAAAAAATCTTCTTTTCTGTTAATCATATATTCATAGAGAGGAGAAACTATCGTCTGTTAAAAGCTTTTTCAAAATGCACATTTTTTTTTTTTTATTAGATCAATAATCACGATATATTGAAGACATTCGTCGAACATAGTACAATCTAATTTTTTTTTTTTAAGAAAAAAAAAAAAATATCAAGATTTTGTTTTAGTTTAAAACACGAACAAATTTTCTGATAAAATAAAAAGACTATTAACTATTCTGCTAGTCTATTGTTGATAATAGAATTGCTTTCAGATTGAACAAATTCTTAATGAATCGATAAGATATTCTCTAAAAAGAAAAAATAGAAAATAATATTCTCGAAAACTCATCATTAATTCTCTAACATATCCTAAGGGAATATTTGTTTTTGAGAAAAATGACGACCAATACTATGAAGTGCGTTGTAATCCCCAAGCCATTTTTAAGCAAATTTATGAGAGAGTGTAATAATAATATTCCTTATATTGTGTTATATCTAGAGAAGTATTGTAACATAGAAGAGAATCAAATAATATAAGCGTCTTGTGCAAGCTTAGTTTTTTCTTTTTTTCTGATAAATAACAAATTCTATTTTGACTTCTACTATATCTCCTGGAAAAAAAAATGAAACAATTTTTCTTTTGTATATCAAATCCGATTTATGAGAATGGATAAGATTCAATTTGTAGGTTTTCTAAAAAAATTTACTTGCCCTCAATTTTTAGTAAGTTATTATAAACTTCTCTAGCAAATTTCTATGATGATTTTACACAATCCTTGAAAAACTTTCGAATATGTTTAATAATATGCTATATTAAATTATAATTTGAATAGAATTTTCTATATATAGATTATTTTAATTATGAAATTTAAAATAATTATTTTTATTTTCATAAATAGATGTCATTCGATTTTTATTCTTAAAGCTTTTTCACTATTGGTTAGTATAAATTATCCACTTGATGTTTAGCTTGTTGTTTAATTGAGTCATATAATACAACATTAATACATATATATATTCATCGTCTTGTTTGTTTTAGTGTAGGCAGGTGTATGAGTTTATTTTTTATCTCTGCAAAAAAATGTTGTTGTTATTGTTTATTTTATGAAATTCATTTAGATTTAATATTAATAAAATATTTTTTTTTTATTTTAGTTTATCTTTCTCATTATGAATAAATGTGAAAGAATAAAATGATATAAAAATAGGTGCTCAATTATGATTTTCTATTTAAAAAATTTTCTATAAAAATAGAATGGTCAATAAAATGGCTACATCAGGAAAAGATTTTAATCAACGTACACGACAACTTGAAGAACGTATTATTGATGCACGTTCACCAATATCAATAGATAGTCTTCTTGATTCCATAATTGCATTAGTTTATGATTCCGAAGGTCTTAAAAAGACAAAAAATTTCGATACATTCTATTCAAAATGTAAATATTTTATACAAAATAATAAATTTATTAATTAAAAAAAAATATTTATAGTTTATGCATCTACACGAGATATTCGTGAACGACGAATTAATTTTGATGATTTCGAAACAATTAAAATTATTGGTCGTGGAGCTTTTGGTACTGTTGATCTTGTACGACGAAAATCATCTGGACAAGTTTATGCTATGAAAACATTAAGTAAATTTGAAATGGTAAAAATCAATTTTGATATTATGTTTTACATATATGTTCGTTTTTTTTTTCATTTATGTAACTTTTAGCTTAAACGTTCCGATAGTGCTTTCTTTTGGGAAGAACGTAATATTATGGCTTTTTCAAATAGTGATTGGATTGTTAAACTTTATTATGCATTTCAAGATTCAAAAAATGTAAGAAATTAAATTTAATATATATATGTTGAAAAGACAAAAGGTCATAATAATGAAGGACAAAAAGTCATTGTCTTATCTTATAGATAAAAATCTTTTTTTTGAACGAAATATATTGTTGTATGATGAAACATTAGTAGAATATAAGGATTTATTTTGTAAATTGATCTGAACGGTTCTAATCATTTATATTTTCTAGTATATACTATATAGAAAAAAGAAAAAGACATAAAATTTCAAAGGTTAGACAAGAAATATAATTTGATGATTTAGAGAAATCGATTAAAGTAAAAACTACTTATCTTAAAAAAAAGGATAATGATTGTAGCTGTTTTTCAAATAATTTGAGAATAAAACCAACTGACGACTTGCGGTTTTCACAGCAAAGACCCTGGACCATGAAATTATATCGAACTTTGATTGATGAGTAATCGACCAATCAGACATTTTTCTCTTTTAGGTCGATATTCTCTTAGGTAGATCCATTCGAGACTTATAACACTTTCCCTGATGTCTTCAATTGTATACTGTTAATTTTATTTAAATTCTGTTTTGTAGAAAATCGACTTTAAATAAGCTAAAATATTTTCAAAATTTCAGAAAATACTTGATTTTCTAAATAATAGAAATTCAATTTGATTTCTTGCAGAAAATCGAAACTTAAATATCAATAGTTTATTTTCAAGAAAGTAAAAATTAATCGTTGAATTCATATGAGCATTTCATTAAACTCTATAACTTATTTTCTAGTTTTAACTCAGTATAATGAATAAATCAATTTTTCGAATGATTAAAAGTCAATTAGTTAAAAATTAAGACTCTCAAAAACTGTCTTATAAATCTTGAATAAAACTACTTAGGAATGTTGTAGAGATGTTTAAAAAGTTTAGTCTATTCTATTCTAATGTTTTTCTAAAATTCTTATAATTTCAAAAAATACGTTTATATAGAACTGACATACTATATTTACACACAGATTATTATTCATTTATTGAAATTTTAGTTATATATGATTATGGATTATATGCCCGGAGGTGATTTAATCACATTACTTGAACGTTATGAAATCAATGAAAGTTCTGCACGTTTTTATTGTGCTGAAGTTGTACTTGCTCTTGATGCTATTCATAGTATGGGTTATATTCATCGGTAGAAATAAAAATATATCTATATCTATTCTTAATCATTAAATTGTTTTTTTTCTTCCTCTAGGGATATTAAACCTGATAATATGTTACTTGATGCTCGTGGACATTTAAAATTAGCTGATTTTGGTACTTGTATTAAAATGGATAAAGTAAAAAAAAATAAAAGAAAATTTTGTTTATTAAAAAACATTTTTTTTTTCTAAAGGATAATCTCGTTCGATCTGATACAGCAGTTGGTACACCAGATTATATAAGTCCAGAAATATTAAAATCTCAAAGTACAACAGGAGTTTATGGACGTGAAGTTGATTGGTGGTCTGTTGGTGTTTTTCTTTATGAAATGTTATTAGGTGAAACACCATTCTATGCTGAATCATTAGTTGGAACATATCATAAAATAATGCATCATGAAGATAATCTCGCTTTTCCTGAAGAAATTCCTTTATCAACTGACGCACGTTCTTTAATATGTGCTTTTCTTACTGATCGGTAGGATAATTTTTGAAAAATTTTTTCATAATTTTCTTTTTGTTTTTTTTAGATCAGTACGTTTAGGTAAAAATGGTGTTGGAGAAGTAAAAGCTCATCCATTTTTTACTAATCATAATGAATGGACATGGGAAACAATACAAAAAGGTAATATATTTAACTTGAAAAGAAAAAACAAGTTTATTAAAATATTATTAATTTCTAATTTAGCTAAGGTACCTATTGTACCACCATTAACAAATGATGAAGATACAAGTAATTTTAATGAAATTGACAAAAGTGATAATCCATCAGAAGAATCATTTTCTGTTAGTAAAACATTTGCTGGAAATCAACTTTCATTTATTGGATTTTCTTATTCCAATGAACAACAGTAAGATTTTTTTATTGAACGAATCTACATAAGATAATCAAGTTTAAAGAAGGAATAAACAATCAGTCTGAATGTTAAAAACAAGAATAAAAACTACTTTTTCATATAATTTTGTTTCTCCGGAACAATGCGTTTTACCGCACGTTCAATTGCGTTTAAAATTTTTAGCACTATAAGGACAAACTGTTGTTCATAGTTTGTCCAGAATCATTTCATGGATGATGATACTAAGGTTTGAACTGACGAGGGAACATTCCCAACTGTCACATCGCTTTTGAGTCGAGCGTATGGACATTATGTAGGCCCTAATGACCTATGAATGTTCTGAAAAAAGTTCGTGCTGCTAGCTTCTTACTGCTGAGATATAGCATTTTTACTGTATGTTTAAGGAAAAAGCCGTGGTCCCCCTCAGGAACATCAGAAAAAGTGACTTTTGAGTTTCCACCTGAAACTTTGCATGTAGACAGGCCTCAATGAGAACAGTTTATTGTGAAGGTTTCAGATTTTTTTCGTTGCTCCTAGTCTGAGATAAGAACATCGGATCTGCTGGTGTATATGAACAATTTTACGATAGCTATATCTTAGGATAGGAACAGCGAAAAGAGCT